CGAGTTGAAAAACTTACGTTTCACAGCTACGAAGCTGTTCAAATCCTTGCTCGACTTCGACCAGCTCGCAAGAAGGGTTGGGAGGAGACGAGTTGAAAAACTTACGTTTCACAGCTACGCAGCTGTTCAAATCCTTGCTCGACTTCGACCAGCTCGCAAGAAGGGTTGGGAGGAGACGAGTTGAAAAACTTACGTTTCACAGCTACAAAGCTGTTCAAATCCTTGCTCGACTTCGATCAGCTCGCAAGAAGGGTTGGGAGGAGACGAGTTGAAAAACTTTAACGTTTCACAGCTACGAAGCTGTTCAAATCCTTGCTCGACTTCGACCAGCTCGCAAGAAGGGTTGGGAGGAGACGAGTCAAAAAACTTAAACGTTTCACAGCTACGAAGCTGTTCAAATCCTTGCTCGACCTCGACCAGCTCGCAAGAAGGGTTGGGGAGAAGGTTTACGGGAAATTACAGCGAAAATAATTTGAAATACAGCAAACACAAGCAATGAAAGAAAAAGAGAAGATTAAATTAATTCGAAAATTCATTACACTAACAGTCGTCTCGACCTTTATAATACTTGAAAATAGGTCGAGAACGACAAGGAAAAAAAAAGAGAAAAAAGAAGACAGCAAAACAAAAACAGCGGCACAGCCCCAAATCGGAAAAACACATTCAAGAGTCGGCGTCCGACTTCTCGGCAGTGTTGTCCCCACCTTCCATCATCACAGTAGCAGACTTCTCGGGGTTCTCCCCATCAGCATCTCTGTCGACAAGCGGCTCGGTGCCCTGCTGCTCATCCTCGACCTCGACCGCCTCTTCCCGACTAGCCCCACTTGCCCCGACTAGTTCGGTCGGACCGGACAAGGGGGTGGGAGGAACCTCGAGTTGCGTGCTCAAGCCAGCCTTGCGGATGGCCCAAGCCTCGAGTCCCGACCACCATGGGTAATCGTCGGGGAGAGAGTCGTCGCCTGAATAGCCCTCGGGAAAGGGAAGCGTCTCCTTAACCGCCTCGCGGTCGAGCTTCCCCTCGAACTCGGATCCCGCAAACCACCGCCTCCCACGCAGCGAAGGTATGCTCGAAGTACTGGAGGGTGGCGGGGCAAAGCTTGTCGAGAAAAGCGAGAGAGTTGCAGAAGGCCTTGACGAGCTCCTGGCGGTAGGTCTCGAGGAAAACGGCGCCGATCGGGGACTTCAAAAACGTCCTGCGCCCCTCCTCGATGCCGCTCTCTCTCTCTCGACCATAGCCTCATCACGAGCTTTGTCGAGGTCGACCTTGAGCTTGTCGTTCAGATGCCGGAGAACGGCCTTGTCGGCCTTCAGCTTGTCGACAAGGGCCTTAGAGGCCTCCAAATCCTCCTTCAGTGCCTCGATCTCCTGGCGCTGAGCCTCACACTTGTCCTCGAGAGACTTGGTAGAGGCGAAGGGAGCCTTACTCGTCTCCTCGAAGCAAGGGAGCGCCGCTGCCAGGAACTGCGAAAAAATACGAAAAACAGATGAGAAAAGATGAATCAAGTTCAAAAGAAAAATGCAAAAACCAAGTCGATTAAAGGGTAGGAAAATTACCCGGGATAGACACTGAACAGCGTAGTTTGAATGCTCGTACAGGGTCCCGTCGACGCGCTCCTTGTCGTCTTCAGGAATGAGGGAATTGAGGTACTTGGCCACATGATACGGCTCTGGGTGATTCCAGAGCCGAGATGGCATCTTGACCGTCACGTCCTTGACGGTAATAGGGGAGGGGCTCTTCTTCTCGACCGCCTTTCCTTTCCCCTTGTCGACTTTGCGACGCTTGAGATCGTCGGGGATGAGGACGGCGGCCCGATCGTCCTGGGCCCTCTTACGAGAAGAGGAGCCCGACGATTTATGTTTGGATGCACCAGGGTTCTCGACCCTGGATTTTTGAGCAGTTGTCGCCTCGACAACCGCAGCGCCGGGCCTCGACCCGGACTCGCCTGAGGGTCGAGAGGGGGGAGCAGGACCACCAGCCGACGGGCCGGACGACTGGCCCTTCTTGAGCTCGAAGCGTTTGAGCGCTTTAACTGAAATAGTAGAAGAAAAGTTAGCAGGGAGAAGAACACTTAGCAGTCATGACGAAAATAAGCATAACTCATAAACAGTTGCACAAAAGAAAGAGAAAACAATAACGGCTTACGAGGGTCATCGAGACGAGGAAGGTCTTCATAAAAGACGATTCGAGCATGATTAACTAATTCACGGTCCTTTATTAGCTGACGAGCACTGTATGTATGCTTATTAAGTTCCGCCAGCAGAGAGGCAAACTCGTCAGAACGAGGTCGCTTATTCTGTTTGACTTTTGAGGTTATCCATTTATTCGCGTAAGGATACATACCGGCGGCAGGACGAATGAAGACGTACTTCGACTTCCACTCAGTCACGTTCGACGAAAGGTCGTCAAGGAAAGTGACGCCGGCACGACGACCCAGACAATGGGCGCCTTTGGAAAGACGATAACCGTAGCAGTAAAAGAAAAAATCGGGAGAGAAGAACTTGAGCACTATACGAGAGACGACAATAAAAGCTATCATGATACGAATGGAATTGGGAGAAAATTGATTTATGGGTATATTGTACAGATTGCTTATTAAGATCAACTCGTCTTGAATGGGAAAGCGGAGGCCGAAGACGACTTGATCTACAAAAAAGGTATGGCAGCCAGAAGGGGGATGAGCAAAATCGTCATTAGGGCCGGGGGCGACCAACTCCCAGTCAGAAGGGAGCCCGCTAAATTTCCTGAAGCCCTCGACCTCGGCTGCAGAGGCATAGCAAAAAGGATTTAAGACCGCTAACCGAGCTAAAGGACAAGCTACTGTTACAATGTTTTGAGAATCAAGAAGAGGAGCAATTATTGGTACAGATACAGGGCTTGTTCTATAAACAGGGATGTCCAATAACCTAAGAGGAATACCTCGAGGGATAAGATCGAGACGACGAGAATTCCCTCGAGAAGGGCTCTTCACGACGTCGACTAAGCCGCCCTCTACAAGCGCTTGATCATATTGTGCCCAGTCGACGGAGGAAGCAAAAACGTGAGAAGAGGAAGGATTAGAAGGCAGTGAAATCATCTTATAGCCGGTAACCTCGACGGAGTCGGAACTGGAACCCTCGTCGACATGGTGAATATAATCGTTGATCTGTTGACCAAGGGAGCCAGAGAGAGAAGACGAGTCGGAAGCTAAAGAAAGAAAAAGGAGGAGAAGGTCGAGGTTAGTAAAATCACGAGTAAGGGCCTACAAGATCGAATCAGGGCGACTCGCAATAATCGACAGAAGAAGAAAGGACAAAGAAGGGGCAATCGCTATCGATATCTCGACCTAAATAAACTAGTAAGTCGACCTTAGTCGACTCGAAAAGAGAAAACTGAAGAAAGAAGGCCACTAAGTCGACAATAGCCAACTCAGCGACAGGTGACAGTCGACTGCTCACCGGAAGCCGACGACTGGCGAAAAACATTAAGTCCTAATAGAATATGCGCGTAAAAGGATCCAACGCAAAACTCATAAGAAATCCGTGAAGAACACGAAGAACACACGAAAATTCCCAGAACCCAGAAAAAATTGAAAAAGGAAAAAACCAACAAAAACGCGAAAAGTAAAAGAGATAAAGAACTTACACATGATGGCGTGGTTGTTTTGAACAGCGAATAAGCCTGGAGTTGCCGGAGAAAGAAACGCCGGAGAGCAAATAGCACAAAAAGCACCGGAGAGTTAGAAGCAGCTCAGAGTTCGAAAAGTTAGAAGCGTGAAAAGCCATCCAAGGTAGACGCGCAATGCATTTATACTCGAGAATAATAGAGGTGGATCGTTAGGTCAATAGCGGAATCAACGACCCAGATGAAGCGTAGAATTCGAGGAGTCGGCGATGGGAATGACGCGCGTCACTTTATGGTTTTTGAAATTTGAAATTTGAAATTTGAAAAGGGTCTGACAGAGTGTCAGACTTATCCGAAAAAGCAATCATGAGAATGAGAGGCGCCCCGATGGATTGACGAGACGAGTTATCAAAGAGGACGAAAGACGAGCAAGTATCGCAGGGAGACAGCGAAACTACACATCACCAAATTTACTCTTAAGCAGTCGACTGCTTAGAGTAATTTTTGGGGGGGACTAGATGATACAGCCACATAAGGATAACCCGGTCTAGAAGCTTCTTACTCGACCGGCGAGCCACTCGAACGACTCGTACGTCGACATGACCAATCGACTTCCCTAGAGTCGATTCTACCAAGAGCAATCCAGGAGAGGCAGAAATCGGTCTAGTCGACTCTACCAAGTCGACTTCACTCTATCGACTTTTACTAACCGACATCAATGAAAGAAGAACATCAAGAGGATAACTCCCAAGCATTCAGACAATCTAGGTCGACTTCCACTAGTCGATTTAGATGATGACGACTCTCTGAAGACGACTTCACTACATGGTTAAACCTAGCATAGCCTCCGAAACCGCAGATACTCATAAGTCGACCTCTTAGTTCTCGAGGTCGACTCTGTACATCTCGAGGATCAAAGTGGTGAAGCCGATTCACCACACTTGTAACATATCCAAAGCTCTATACATTACCAAGGATAAGAAGGAATCTTGTGATGACTCAGCAACAAAGGGGAGACGAATCGACAGGGGCATTTTGGACCTTCTAGGTCCACCGACTTGGGCATTTTGGGCACTTCACGTAAGTATTCACTCGTATATAAAGGAGATGAGGTAACCCTAAACCCTAACTCTCATTCATTCCCACTCTCCCCCATAGCTGCTGCGTAGCCTCTCTTCATCACTCTCATACTGACTTGAGCGTCGGAGGCTCTACGCCGGAAACACCTCCGGCGTTGAGTTTTTGCAGGAATCTCGCGGTCTAGTGACGGTTGGGAAGCGGTTCAAGCAGATCTGAGCTCACAACCACCGGTTTACTCCAGATCTAGAAGTAGACCCATCACCGCCACAACCATCTAACCACCGGAAATCGCAGCCTCTATTGTCCCGCCGACCATCACCCGTGACGAGCACGTCCGTTCAATAGCTCGAACGAAACTCCGCCCAGATCCGCCATCATGTCCGACGCCAATCGGAGATCCCTTCATGTCCGGAGTCTCAGTCGCGGTGGAGCCGATGACCTTGCCGGAGAAGACCTTGCCGGAAAAGACCTCTGCAAAATGAATAATGGACTGCAAGTTGATTAAGATATTTTTAAAATTGATTTGTTTTTTTTTTTTAACAAAAAATTAGATGTTGTTAAGGACCTATTTGCAATTTCATCGACTTTNAATTGTTGGACATATATATAATAAGTGCCAAGAAAAAAAATGCCGGACCTATATGCATTTATTAATAACCTTTTAGTGTCCCTTCATGGACATATTTTATGCATAACATATATTTGATCTTTTCAATAAAAAATAATACAAAATAGTAAAAAAAAGTAATATATTTTACAATAATAAATTATAAAATATTTTAAGAAATTAGGTTAATTCGATGTACAATTATATCTATTAAAAATAATTTTTGAATACACATAATTTATCTGGTATCGTATAAACTAGTGCACTTTATAGAATAATGCGTTGCACTGTATAGAACAATATGTTGCCCTTTTTAAAACAAGACGTTGCACTTTATAAAACAACAAGCTACATTTTATCATCACACTCCACAATTAACGTTAACAGTTCCCGCCAAAATACCACACAAAATAAATATAAAAAAAATGAATCTATATAATATTTTAACATGCATCACATCATTAGTCCACATAAAACACAAGCATGCTAACATACAAAATTTACAGTATTGCATTTTATACATAGGCACGTTGCACTTAATAAAACAATACGTTGTACCTTATAAAATAACACCTTGCACTTTATCATGACTATAATATCGCACGAATAGATAAGGAAACCAACCGAACTCAATTTTTTATTTCAACCAAAAATAATATAAAAATAATAAATAAAATTATTCATATATTAGATATAATTTTAATATAAATAACTAATTATTTCGATAAATTAGAACAATTCGGATAACCCAAACCGAATAAACTTATTAGTTATGTTCATTTTCAATTTGATAGGGCAATAATTCGGTTGGTTCAATCTGCACAATACATACTGACACCGTGCACCATATTGTTGGATGAATTGCACTTAATAACTATTAGATTACATAGTAAATTTTGTTTACATATATACTAATATGTTTAATTAGAAAAATAATATAAACTATTAAATAAAAAATTATTAAGTACTAATAATATTTTTTATAATAAATAATATAATTTATGTAAGTTATTTTAGTTATTTATGTTAATCGACGAATTAAATCAATTATGTCCAAAATTTCACTTCGAGCCCTTCCCTTAAGGGGTTGTTGTGTTACTCGCGCATAAGGTCCTTGGGAACGTCCATGGATTTTATCATCAACTTGGTAAATTAATTTCAAGATATAAGGATTTTAAATTTCATTTTTGTTAATTGTTTCTACTTTGAAACCTTGGTGGAAATTTCAAATTTCATTTTGATTAAATCCATTTTGATTAAATTTCGTTTTGATTAATTGTTTCCCATGTTTTAATTCAATTGTTTTGGTTAACTCGATTAACCGATCAAATAAACTAATTAAATTTTTTCAGTTTTAGATTGAGTTTAGACAAAAGATCGATCGGTTCAAATGTACAATAGCAACCGACACCGTGCACAATATTATTAGGTCAATTGCACATTAACTCATGATAGGTGCACATTATTAGGTATTTTATTTCTTATTATTGTACATGTACTAATTTAAACTTTATTAATTTACAGATAAGTCCCCAAAACTTATCTAATTTACAAAAGTGAAGCCCCAAATTTCAGCCCTAATCTAATTGCAAACGTCCAGTAGCAAACCAAAATCCAACTCCTGCAAGACTCAGCCTCTCGTCATTCACCGGAAACCCACCGCAGTTGTGCACACACGCGACCATAGGAATGTGCTGATGGCCAGCTGAACGAGCCCGGCGGTGGCGGCGGCCGAAATCGAGATGCGCACCGAAATTATTGCCTGACCGTTATATACTGTAAGAAATTGAAAGCGCCGGCGGACGGCAAGAAGATGTACGGCGGCGTGTCGATTTCGGCGGCAGCTTGAACCAGCCATTGTGCGAAAATGACAGCAAAAATCGTAGTCGACTTCCTTCCGCCGTCTAACCGGTTTTTCATGTCGGCAAGGATCAAGAACAGAGAACGATTGACGAAAAACGAGGTGCGCGGCTCGACATTGACGTTTGCCATGATATCATGAAGCTCTCCGGCGGGTGGAGACGCGGCCGACGCCGGAAGATGAGGTAGGGGAAGCCGGAATTCGTGGCAAATAGGGTCGCCAGTGCGAAAGAAAATGGAGAAATGGCGCGAGAGGCAGCGGTGGTAGCAGGCGGCGGCGAGCGGTAGCGGATGGTAGTATGTGGTTGCAGGGTTCATCGCCGGTGGGCACATACAGATGGATCTGATTGCAGATATGTGTGTGTAGGTGAGATAGAAAAGTGAGGCTTTAGTTGGGGTGGTGATGGTGGGGCCCACGTATGGTAGGTTAGGTGGATTTATGTGTGATTGAATAATTACCACATTGTCCTTATTTATGGTCAAATGTATATATTTGACCATGAATTGTACATCTATTTATTAAATTGTCACAACATATTTGACTGAATATTTAAATTTTGAATTAATAATGATCGTTGATATGTTAGATCTAATGATACATGTTTATTCTTATTTCTTTCACTAACTACCATTTTCAAATGATCCCTTCTCTCTCTCTCTCTCTATATATATATATATATATTATTCAATTTACACTACTTTTAATTATAGAATTAATACATAATTTATTAAATACATAACATATATAATTAAATTCTTTTGTTAGTAAATAATATATATAATTTGATATTTACTAAATAAATAAATATATTAAATAATTTATCAAATATAAATAAATAAATGTATTAAATAATTTATCAAATATATTTTAATAAATAAATATATTTAATAATATAATACTATTTTCATAATTATTATTTTAATATTAAGATTAATTATTATAATATTATATTTTATTTAATTATTAATGTAAATAAATACTAAATATAGTAAATAATAAATACTAGAACAAACTATGATTAAAAATCATATAATTCAAAAATAAATTATATAAAATATTTTTATTTATTAAATCTAGTTTTACTTCGTAATTAATATATATTTTAAATCATATAATTACATAATACAATAAATGTAATTAAGTAAACATATTAATAGAAATAAAATAAAATGATAATTATTTATTTGTTTAATTATTTCATTTACTGATTTTTGTTTTCTAATTAATACATATTTAATAAATTTTGTGTTTAAATAATGAATCTAAAATAAATAAATACTAAATAAAGTACTTTGTTTAATGAAACTTTTATTATAATTTATGTTGTTCTTATTTACCTTATTTAATTTTGGTTATATTTAATATATTGATTTAATATAATATATTTATTTATTATAATATTTAATATAATTATTTATTTAGTAATAATTTATTTATTATATTATATTATTTAACATATTTAATAATTATACTTATTTATTATATTATGTAGTATATTTTCTTATTTAGTATACAAATAATAGCTAATTAAATATATTAAATATTTATTTATTAAATATTTAATTAAAAAAATTATTTATTAATTATTTATTTAATATATTGATTTATTAAATATATTTATTTACTATAATATTTAATATAATTATGTCTTTAGTAAAAATTTATTTATTTATTATATTATTTATTAATTTATTAATTATACTTATCTATTTTATTATTTAATATATGTATTTATTTAGTATATAAATAATATTTAATTCAATATATTAAATATTTATTTAGTAAATATTTAATTAAATAATATTTATTTATTAATTATTTATTTAATATATTTATTTATTAAATATTTATTTACTATAATATTTAATATAATTATTTATTTATTATATNTCTCTCTCTCTCTCTCTCTCTCTCTCTCTCTCTCTCTCACACACACACACACAAAATCTCACCGGCACCCGTCGACAATCTCTGGCGGCAGCAGACCGGAAAATTCACGTCCGAACGCCACACATACACACTCACCCACTCTCACCTCCGACCACCCCACGCAGACAGCCGCCGGTCACCTGCGACTTCCCACCAGAGCACCATCCATCACCGCCGCACAACCACCATACGTCGGCGTTCCTCCGACACACACTCAGCCGCATCACCACTGCTCGCCGGAGCCCGAGACACTGCATCTGTCCCGCCACATCCCGTCGCCTGCCACGCCTCAATCGCAACGGGTGAGGCTTCTTCGCGACACCGTGTCGCCATCGACATCTTCCATCCTTACAAACCGCGGCCCGACCAGCTCTGCGTAGTCAACCTCTGTCACCGCCGCCTCGGCCTCCAGCGTCGCCTGAAACTCTCCAGTCCTCCTATTATTGACAGTATCTCGACCTTGGATGCATCGTCGCCGTCTCTGACTGTACCGACGTCGGTGCCGTTCGACATGACCTGAAAATGCAAAAAAAAAAATCGATCCAATTGCGGACATTAGACATCAAGAGAGCACTCAATTCGAAAAATTATGGCTGATGCATAATTTTGTAAGTTTGAGAAGATTAAAGGACTAATGTGAAATGTTAAAATTCTTAATTATATTGGAATATATTTTATGAGGTTAATTTGTAATTTAATAAAAACATAATAAATTCACAATTATGATCAAATGCACATCATTTAGTATATTTTAATTAGTTACCTAAATTGTAATTAATTAAGATTCTAATAAATGCAAATTTAAGTTGTGACGGCTCAAATTGAGTGGATAGAGAGAATCGTATACACAAAGCATTTGACTATTTGTGTTATGCATATATTATATTAAATAATAAATAATTTATTAAATAAAAATAATATAAGATATTAAAAAAATAGAAAAATATTTTGTAATAATAACTAAATTGTATAGTAAAAATAATAAATAAAAAGTTATTCTATTTTTTAT